TATAGTTCATATATATACAATGGAAATGAGCAGTGAAAAAAAATACTTTACTCTGTCGATATATATATATATATAGTGTGGCCAAAAAGTATGTGGCGTGATCGAAAAGATGATACGATACCTAAAAAATGTTGGTAGCTCAGTCATTTCTCAAACTGCATTCGAATGCGGATTAAAGCGTTTTTTCATAGATTTTTGCAGGAATTAACATAGTCTACCTTATGACTTAGCGTTATTTTGTGGCCGTCCAGAACGGATGATAATTAAGCAAAGCTCTAATGAAATATTTGTTTCCCCAATTGTTATATATACTTAGTGCAACTAAAAACGTCTTGATCCTATACCAATTTATATACACTTATTTCCTACATTCAATCTGTTCGTAAAACTGAGCTACAATTTTTTAGTGGATTAGAAATGAGGTGCTGCGCACGAAATAACTTAAAACCCCAAGGTTTGTCATAACAACCTAAATAAGGTATTTTCAACCTATTTTGTATTCGGGGTTTATTACTTATCAATTTTAATCGGTAAGTATGTTGATAGGTATTTGTCTGTTTGTCTGTCTGTTAGATGCACGCGATATCTCACGAAAGCGAGATTGGATCTGCTGCAGATTCTGCATGTGCATTCATCATATCGTACCAGAAGCCTATTGATTTTGGGCGAATTATGTCGTATAATTAGCGAGTTATCAATTAATTAGTGATGGGACACAAGGTGTCACTATGGAGTAAGAGCGCTGATTTGGCGGATCGATCGGTTGACCGATATTCTTGTTTTTTGTTTGTCTCTCTGTCTGTTAGATACACGAGATATCTCACGAAAGCAAGGTTTGGATGAATAATGTCGTATAATTAGCGAGTTATTAATTAATTTGTGATGGAACACACGGTGTCACCATGGAGTAAGAGCGAATGAATTGAAACCGCAGTTTCTGTTTTGGGGGATCCCCTAACTTTCGATCGATAAGTCTTCGATCTCCGACCGATATTCTTGTTTGGTTCGTTCTGATGTTAGCGGATAATTGCTACAATTTGTTAAGTGTAAGTCCCGTACGCCCTAAAGTTTAAAGTAATTTATTTTCTATTTTTTGAACTGGAACCGATATTCAGACAGACAGAACATGAACTCTCGATGACAATATTATGGTCAATGAAGACAAGCTAAGTTATCAAACAATTAGCGATGGGACATGCGGTGTCATTATAGAGTCAGAATGAATGAATGGGGGATCCCCTAACTTTCGATCCATAAGTCTCCGGTCTCCGACCGATATTCTCGTTTGTGTATTATGCTGACTGGTTGAACGCCAAAGCGGGACAGTTTGCTGACCTGTCGGGACATCGGGACAAGACGTTGAAAAGCGGAACTGTCCCGCCTAAAGCGGGACGTATGGTATGCCTACAGCTATGGCTTTCGGATGCGTCCGGCTTTGAGGTCACACAAAGATGGTAACCCTAGATTTGAGTAAATTAATTAAGACCAGTTTCATGCTGCAATTATAACTTGTGAGTGAGTTCTTTCGAACTAGCACGAAAAAGACAAGTCGTCCTGGGTAGGCTATGAGATCCCGCATTTATCATTAGTATGTCCCCCTGCAAACCGTTATCACGTAACTCTGAGTTATAAATAAACGTATAAATAAAAATGTCTTTATCTCTTATTTCTTTTCCGATTATATTTATGCACATATCATGTTATATACCATAAGATCTTTCAGAACAAACTATTATATTGCATTTCAAAATGTCTGTTTGACATCGGAAACTAAGAACCATTCACGTCCTATATGATCCTTTTGAAGTTTTATTTTAATTAAAGAGAACATACTTTTGTTCCGTCACATTTGCCCGCCTCCGTAACGATTAACTGTCGGTCTTGTCAGTAATGCGGTGATCTGAGGCCTAAACGAACCGGTACCAGCGTGCGATCTTCGTATTCATATATTTGAGCATTGCTCTCTTTCTAGTATTGAATATGAAGCGCGTCTAAGATCGTTTTGTTGAATTGCTGCTGGTCAGGCTTGGGTTCTTAGTGTTATGAAAAGTGGCATTTCTCCGATTGTATGTAACGAGCCAATGCATTTTCAGTGTTAAAATTTGAAAGAAATCGCAAGTAGGATCTTGCCGTTTCCAAAGATTCTCTCATTGGTTTTGCTGGTTTATCTAAATCACGGGTATGCCTTTATATTGAATTCTGGGTACTCCCGTAGTGTGTGTACCAGGTTAGGGTTGGGCCATAATTTTATTCCGAGGTCCTTTATTTTAGTTCTATTATGAATTCGGAGACCGTCTGTATTAGCCAGGTAAGCCCATAGGTGTCAGTCCTTTTACACAACTTCATGTAAAGTAGGCGAACAAAATTAGTTACCTCCATATTGGTACACACACTTCTGGAGCGCCGAATTCTGTGCCTTCTAAATATTACTTATGACATTCTGTACAAATCTTGAACGTTTGGCTGTATTACTGTATATTAGTCATTTGATCTTCGTGTCTTTATATTTGAGCATTGCTCTCTTGTTTCCTGTACTTTCCAAATATACTCGAATCCTTCATAATAATCTCTTCGCCGTCCTCGATAGTTTGTGGAAGTTTCTTTCCCTTTGTCTCCGGAAGTGTTAAACATAGGCCACCTTTTTAATAAAATAACGAAATTTATAGATTTTAAACAGAATGCAGAGAGTGAGGTTTTTATAGTCGGTTTTATGAAGCGTCGTGATCGCTCTTTGAAAGCTATGATCGTATTGTCTAACTTTATCTTTTAAGTCAATTTGTTTCAACTAATGCAGAGTTGCATGAAGTTACTATTCTAACTTTGCTTTTTCTTAATTGACCGAAATGGTATATTATTATTATTATGTACCCCCATGGTCTTTAACCTTTGTGAGCGAGCCGAACCCCTGTCCTATTCTCCAAGCCTCCGTCGAACCCAATCATATCGAATGATTGAAACAAGGAGCGAATAGAAAATTTATAAGAGGGAATGCTAATTTTGCGCAAGAGATAGGAAGGGATCAATGTGGTGTATACGGAGATACCAATATATGCATCACAATAGTGTCTGCGACAGGGTAAGTAGATGCTTTTTGTTGTTTGGTTACGCGGGCGTTATCAAACTTCAAACCGCATCAAAATGCGGCTAAAAAGCGTTTGGCAATTGTTAACGGAAATAGGGATATCCTATGACTCAACGCCATATTGAGAATTCCCAGAACGAATGTTGATCATTTTAAGAAAAGCTATGCAATGAAATATTCTTTCCCCACAAATTTATCAATTAGTGAAAATTGAAAAAAAATCAAAAAAAAAAATTGAAAAAAAAAAATCAAGTGAAAATTTCTTCCTGTGCTTAACTAATGCAGAAATCAAATTTCAACAAACCTGCAATAGTAGAAATTATTCCAAAAATAATATATGGCAAGAAAGTCATCACTTCTCCTGACATTGCTATAATCGGAGATAAAACACCACCTACGCGAGCCATCAAGTTGCAAGCACACAGTCCCATAGTCCTGAAAAGAAACACAATTTGTTTGATTTAAAGCTGAAGTAGGGTGATGAAAGGAAAGCAAATCGAAAATCGCTGGATAAAGATGATGAGTTCAGGAATAATCTTGTTATGATTCTAACCCGCTTATCTCTCTCCTCCTGAGTCCATTTTGTATGGTCATTTAAAAAAAAGCAAAAAAAAATTTGTCGTCAAAAACCATTAGCCCCTAAAACCTCACTTGCGTGTTTTGGAGTCTAGTTGAGCACTAAAACTAAATATTTTGTTTTAATTTTAACGTTTTCTGTGTTATTTACTAACTAAACAATACCACAGTCATTAATATTATAGCTGAAATAGTCACCAAAGAATTCACAATTGCATTTACAGAATTTATGAAGAACAATTCAGTTTACAATTTTGATTACGTCACACCCTAATTATTAGTGCGCAAATTCTTCATTATGCATCAAAAGTAATCATTTTTGATGATAATACACGCGACAAGTCATAAACAAGCCAATGTGCGTGGTTACAATGAAATTCATGATTAATTTTACGTTCTATTCATATTGACAATTTTACCACCCAACACTTGTCACTGTTTATGACCTCTCAAAAGGGTCATTTTAACTCTCAATGTACGATAATACCATTATGTTCGGGCCATGTATGAAATGATTAATATTATGTCACTGGGCATAAGCAGGTCACAAGGAACCCTAATCAACCGTCCAACCTTCAGGTCAACTTTAAGATATAGAGATGAATATCTGAAAATTTTGTTTGGTGTTTAGTTCTGCATGATAAATAAGTGTAATCATGCTTGAAAATAAGATTAAAATATAACCTGACAGATGTCGGATAGATTTCATTTGTATGAATGTACGTTGCTGAAAATCCAACAGCGATGGCAAACTTCCCCAGGATGGCAATCGGAAGCATGGCTGTCACAAAAATATTATATATACCGTATTTGCTCGTTTAATAGCCCGGGCGCTTATTTTTTTAAACATATACTCACTAACTGGGCCCTTATTCAAACCGGCCCTTGTTCCAGCAGGGGCGCTTGTTAATTTTAAAGTAAAATTACAATTAAAAATACCGGTAGATAAGATCGATCGTTACAATAATTAATATATATAATCATTCATTTCATTGCAAAATTGAAATACGTGAACCTGTCACAATCGATATCTATGATTGTGCCGGTAAAAGTGAATTCCATATTTAGGATATGACTGAAACTTTCACGGGAGCACAGTTATGCAAATATACTGGTTGCAGTTAGAATTTGTCTTTCGTGAAACTCATTTTCCGAGCTGGCCCATTACTCCACTCAACCCAGTAAATTGCTAGTGAGGTCAATTGATGAGGCTAGTGAGTTTATTCACGGGGAAGGTAGTTGGGGGGTCACAGGGGCACGAAATCATATGAAAAGCATGACAATATAAATGTAGGCGATACATAATATCGGTGACCGTACATTTGAACCCATGTACATTTGAACCCATGTACATTTGAACCCATTCGTATATCCACGGGTTCAATCTATATGCGGGTGCTAAAACCCATGGGTTAGGGTTAGTATGGGTTTAACTATCCGTAAAACAAAAAAAATTCCATAGGTGCAATAGCATACAGGTGCAATTGTCATGGGTTCAAATGTACGTGGGTTCAAATGTAATGGAACCATAATATCATACAACATCATGGATTGCTCACCTCCCGGAACAAACGGTAAAATAATACACAGCATTCCAGCACTTAATTGTGCGACAGAGCCGCTAAGCCTTCTTCCAAAATAATTAATCAACGGTATAGCTAAAAAATTGGAAATTATTTCGGCAAGCGCATTCAGGCATACATTCCGAAATGGATCGCCATCTAGTTCAGCCGCATTCAAAGTAAGTCCGTAGTATACACATGATACTGAAAACCTGCGTGCAAAGATTGAGAGTGTTCATTGGCCTAATATCGGCAAGCAAAATTAGATATCCGGCTAGATATGGCAAAGATGATTGTGATATTATATGCGTGTCTTACAAATCCGAGACACTGCCTAGATTATAAGCTGATAGTGAATATATGAAGTTCAACATGAATCGAGACCACGTCTAAATTTTATCATTTTCCTGGCACGAATTAAAAAAGAGAAATGGAATATACTCAAGATTTGATATTTTTCGAAATCTAGAATTTCGGCTAAATTATCCTTTCAACCTAAGGACGCAAAGGGTGTTGCATTTTTTGAAAAAAATGCAAAAATTGATATTAATTTCCTGGTTTTTATTGTTTAATTTAATGATATAAATGTTCTCATTTGCATATACCAAATGTAGAATTCCTTGAAGGTTGTTGAGCGAAGATGTGGAGACTTGAACACTGCCTTTGCGCCGGATTTGTTTTCTATTTCTGTCTCGTTTTTAATTTCCTTTCCAACCGTTCCGAATGCATCTGTCGAAATAGAAGAAAACTTTGCATCAGTTTACAATAGCCTAGCCCTAGGCCGTTTGAAATCCTATGGACACCAGACTCCGACATATAAAGAAACCGACTCCGATTGATGTAAAATCCGACTCCAATTTTTGATTCCGCGATAACAACTTCTTGAATATAAATTTTTAATTAATGATTAAAAATAAGTAATAAATTTTGGTTAATAATTGATTAATGCATTTTAATTAATAAATAAATGTTTTAGCAAATTGTCAGCAAGTAAATACCCTAATTTCCAACTCCGCAATATCACGAAACAATAAGGCTTACCTTGTTCAGAAATCTTTGGCATTCGATTTATTCGAGCTATTCCACTCAAAACTTTTAACGCCTCCTTTTTTCTATTTCTTTGAACAAGCCACCTTGGAGATTCTGGCATTAACCTGGTATCAATAATAATATAAAGAGAATAATGGATGTGAATAATAAAACTCATTGAAGTCATGCTTCAATCAAGCATGACGCCATTGCATCGTTCCTAATGAGTGGAGGAAAACGCGTGTACTTGGTGACGTCACAAAGAAATGGTCATGGTCATGTGAAACCAGTGATTTGACAAAGCAATGTAAAAAATTGCCAAATATATACGATAGAAGTGCTGAAAACTGATGAAGCTATATCGTTCAATTGTAAGGATTAAGTAAAAATTAAGATTCCCAAACGCAACATGTACGATAAGTTTCAAGTTTTGCAAATTATCCGAAACAAATACGATTATAGATTAATGTATGACCGTATGCAGTCAACACGTTTGAAATCATTACAAGAAAGCTTGGAGTTCAAACGATCCTGATTTTCCACAAACTGTTTACAAACCATCTATCTACCTTACCACCATATCAATATTCCTATGAGGTAAGGTGCTGATATAGCAAGCTGAATTGTTCTCCATTCTCGTAGGTAATATGAAATCATTGCCACCAGCATAAACCCCAAGGGAAAAGACAACTCCAGAACTTGGCCCAGCAATGTTCTATATTTTGGCAGAGTGATTTCGGCGACTGTAAATAACGAAAATATTACAAATATGTCATTGGTTTACATAGAAATAAAAGTTGCGTACTTGATTAGCTAATCCACCTCATTCTAGATGTAATTTTTTAGTGAAGACTTTACAAGCCACACAATTTTTGTCTTCAAAACATGTTTGCGTATAAAACAGTTTTTTCGTTGTTTGAAGAAAAAATTTAACAAATGTATTGATTTATTTGTAGACAACGTAGAATGTCGACCGGATATTAATTTTCAAAACATACCTGGAATTCAATGTTTTATATTACATTTGATTTGATATATTGATAAAAGATATGTCACAGCGTTTCCAAATACAAAAAATAATATATATGCATGTTTAAAAATCGAGAAAATATTATAGCAGTTGGGAACAATAACGACACCCCAATTAAATTTAATCCCATTCATCGAAGTTTATGTAGTGGTGGAACGTATATATTTTTTAATCTCCGAGTTGATAAGAGTTTGAAACGTATAAAATTTCTCACACTGATAAAAAAAGTGAATGCGTGTTATTTTGCATTCATGAATACAATTATATAGTATTGTTCATTTCAATTTTACTAAAAATGTTGAGTCGTGCAGCATTGTACAGTATTTTGACCTCGATGCCATGAACACCGAGAAAAGTATTGGTTATGCCCTGATGATTACGCCAGAATCTAATACACAAAAACACGATACATTGAAAAAGTTCAGTTTAACCTAACAATGGTCTGGTTGTATGGTAGTCACTACCTGGGAAATGAAAACTATTTTCTTGGACTGGCCATGCCCTAGACTCAAATACCAGCGAAAATACGAGAGCCTGTCATAAAGCAAAGTTTACATTCGTCGCATGCTTGGAAATAACGGTTGTTTTCTAATTACAACGACTAAAAAATATTTATGAATTTCAACATTATTCTTCGCAATTATTCACACTCACTTAGTACGAATGTAATAGGGAAAGCACTATAGATGAAGAAACCAACGAAAAATCGCATTGTGCAAAATGTTGCGTAATTTTGCGTAAAGGACAGAGAAACTCCAAATATGGCTGCTCCTGCACATACAATAAGAAACGCTATTCGCCTTCCGATCCTGCAAAAAATACCAGCAATCATTTATACAATGGAAAAAATAACAAGAGAAAAAAAATTTATATAATAATACAGTTTCACAAATAAAATATAATAAATCAAGTCTGATAGGAACAATATACAGTATGTTGGGAACACAGGACCAAACGAAAATTACATATGAATCTAAAGAAAATCAAATTAATGTTAATTTTGTTTTTACGGAGTATATTTTTTTCAATAAAAGCTAATTCATCAATACATTTTATGTCGGTATAACTTATCTCACCGATCCGATACGAATCCGGCCACCAAGCTTCCGATTCCAACACCTAACATTAAGGCTGATTGCGCAAAATATCCAGCCCATCTGTCCGCACAAACTAGATTGAATTCAGTAACAATGGTGGATTGCATGATAGAGCGATCGAACTCCCATTCTGTGCATTTTACTGAAGGAATTGTTTCATTCATCTGAATATATGATATGGTAAAGATTAATCCCGTACGAATAGAATAGACTAATGCTACTCATATGCCCATGAAGTCGGAGTATGAAACCTCTTTGATGAAAATAACAATTAATTAAACAATAATACGACTTGTTTTTGGTTTTGTGAATTTTATCTCAGATTATCGAAAATCTGGGAACCAGAGTCATTTTCTCAACACTAGTTTGTACGAAAGTAGGAGTACTTCCTAATGGTTTGCAGTCGGAACTTGTACTGCTACAGAAGTAGCGGTTTAGTGCATTAACAAGTTACGGATTTCCAACGACTGTGAGATGTTCCACCACCGACCATTGTGTTTATCCGAGCAAGCCAAATTTACATCAAGATAGGATTTTTATCACGTTGTGAGTTTAAGACGAAAGTCTCTGTTGGTAAAAATGAATAAACTTACTGTTGAGTTGCAGTTGATCGTAAAGATGTCATCAGATGAATTAGCTAGTGCAATCCAGTCTGTTCCAGATAAATCAAATCTGAAAACGGTAAAAGCGTTTGTGAGAATCAGCATTTTAAATTATTACCTCTGACTACTTTGTCACTAATACTACTAGTACGCTGTCGGGACTCTGATACAACAAAAGTTGGTTTAAAATATGATTCTAAATCATCAGTTGTATAGAACTGAACTGAACATGTAATGAAAGATGATGTTATTGAGACTATATCCGCCATTCATAAAAATATTATTTCATTCCATGCCATTTTCAGTGTATGAGGCAACATTTAACTTTATTCCAAATATATAAATGTCTGTTCCTAAAGTATGGTTTGTAGAGCGTTATTATTCGTCTTCAAATTTTCTACTAATAATTTTGCTTTAAGCTAATATACCTTGAGCATTTTGATAATTCTCCTCTTTCTTCTGGGAATAAAAATTTACCAAAGTTTGTAGAACAGGCCTAAATAGAATGTTAAAAACGTTCAGTATTTATGTCGCATTAAAGAACACTGGGTGGTAGAAAAACAGAACTTATTTGGGGCATATTCTAGACTTCTAGAGGGACATAAACAATAATATATATGAGTGTTTTGTAGATTATATATAGCGTAATTTTTTTAACAAATCAGGGTCCTAATCAAACATAATAGTTATAAAAACCTAAATCTCTAGAAGCATTCTTTTGTGAGGGAAAAGTCGTGCGGGTTTATAACCCCCAAAAAATAAAATGTCTCGAAATTTGCCATTAAAATGATTCCAGATTTATAAAAACCGAACAGAATAATAAAATGAACTCACATTCCGGAAAGTTGGCTCAAATGGAGATTTACATCTCACTCTTGGATTCATTGCCTGAAAGATTGAAGCTGCGAGGTTGGCTGCACCCAAGCTTAGAGGAATGAGGAAAATTATTACCCAAAGTATTTGATATAATCCTAAGCCGCCCACGTGACTCACAACTGCGTCCAAATTGTCTGCATCCATTATGTGCATGTATTATTGAGTATGGAATATGGATAGATATGCTACATTAGAAAACAATTGATATTGTTGATAATCAAACATATTAACTTCAGAAGCTGTTGACTGAACACACTAGCGGCACATCTTGCGAATGTAAGGGAAACTAACTGGTTTATCATTTTACAGTATACTATAGATAATGAAAAAATATAAATGATAATGTGTCAGGTCGCTATAGTCCAGGGATGGCGAACCACTGACCCGCGGGTCACAAAGTGACCCACCGCGTTTTATATGTGACCCGCCAAGCGAAGGCACGAATAAAATAAAATGCAACATATCAGTGATAAAAATTGATAAAACCGCTCTAAAATTAATCCAACAATAACTAAACTATTATATTGTACCGTCAGTTGGAGAGTCAGATCTGCGATAGCTCATATTCAAAATGTTGATTTAATTTTCAAAACCCCTAATCTTAGACGCATGTATGCACCGTTGTATACCCTTATTCAGCTATTCGGCCTGACATCGTTTATGACATAACATTGCAATTGATCTGTTCATTTCTCGCAACGCCTGTCTCTTTCCTGTCTCTTTCGAAAGTGCATCTGCAGACTGTTTTAGGGGTTATACGAGAACTAGATGCTACTTTGCGTTTTATTAGTTTCTCGCCTACAATGCCGCTGAGAAAACAAAATCTTTCAGACTTGAAATAAAAATCTAGTAATCTGATATAACAATGGGCCAGTGTAAAAGTGCCTTAATGTGGTTGGAAGCTGATCGAAAATTATAACACTATCAAAGCGGAATTACCTCCAAACACTAGAACCGTAAAATAATTTAACGCATCATCCTAAACGTTTTTGGTAATTCATATGCGTGTTTTCGTACTCTAACATCATAAAACCGAGTGCCATGAAAAGTCCCTGATAGAAGTGCTGCATAAGTAAAGCCCAAAACTACACCAACACCAGCTTATAAGATTTGTTTCAGAAGTTTCTTATAGATACAAACGTGAATTAAATATCGGTGACCCACTCGCTTCTGTTCCGCGATAAAATTATAATTTTTGACCCATTCATTGAAAAAGGTTCGCCATCCCTGCTATAGTCAGATGCAATGTCACTAAAATCATATATTTCTACGTTTGTTTTACGGTTTTCGCGTGAAAATAAAATTCTGCTTTGCTCAGTTTTACAATGCTAAGATAAAGCCAATATTACGCCAAACACTAGCGTCGTCTTAATAAACCATTCTTACTTAACGATTAAAATGAAAAGAATAGTGAATAGAGACGCAAGTTATATATAAAAAAAACATTCGAATATTTTCGAAAATATCCAATCTGTTTATTCTTGTCTGCCTGTTTACAGTCAACTACAGTTACAAACTAAAGGAAGCACAAATGGCATTTACCCTTGAATGAATTTTAAACATTCCTCTTTTGCTACGTGTATTTTTTTTTATACTTTTCTGTTATACTCTGTCTGTTACTTTAACAGCTGTGAGCGCGTTTTGGGGTCCCAGTACTGTTATCTGGAAGGGAGTCAATACTTACCATACCAAAAAAGATTTGAGATGTTAAAGACCTGTGGAGCTGCAGAAGCTAATTAATTTTTGCCAAATTTTGGATTCGTTTTGAATATGCGTCAATTTTTTATGAATCCCAATGTGTATGCTTACGTGAAATCTGTCCTGGGCAATAACTTCCTATCGACCAATACTATATTGAATCGAAAGCTTCCTAATTATCGTACTCGACTGCAACATCGCATATAAGTTAATTGTATTATTGCTTGTCTCTCTATCATCCTGTAGATTGTAGAATATAGAATATATAGATTATATTTGTAGAAATGCAAATAAGTTAAATCGAACCTTAAATCGTTTGTGACTCAGTTTAGTCATGCGCAATTCATGATTCGGATGTTACGTGATTGCCTATGTTCAGGCCCAAAGTCTATATTATACACACTTCCTACTAAAAATTTAATCGTTATATTTTCCGAAAAGAAGTAAAGTAAACATTCATCAAGTTCTTAACAACGCATTCTTCATAATCCAAGTATAGAGTAGTCACAGCACTAGGCCTAATTTTTAGATTTGCTCCATAATAACGTTAAAGATACATGCATTCCTATTATTGAAGAAAAACAACCAAAATGTAAAATCGGAGTGAAAATTAATATTTAATCGCCTCGATTATACATATAAAATTGAATTTAGGTCACTTTATCCTAATCTGCAGAGTTAACACTTCAGCCCTTTGTTTGCTTGATAGCGTTTACGAAATTAAGAAACTCACGTGGTAAACATATTGCCTAATTGCGAGGAAGATATTATATTAGACGTGAAACCTTGCCTGATAAATCCTTGCCATGATTAAACTAGATCTGCCGCCTATAGTGTTACAATATACAACATTGAGGCTTCTCGCGTTAATTCTAAAAATGTAAATTCCATCATAAACGTTGGGGTGGATACTGAAAATTGCGTTGCTTCTGTTTACGACGCATAGTCTTCTAAATTGTTTTATTAAACAATCTTCTGTTTCCCGTTAGCTTATGCGAAATTTAACTGTTAATTAATGATGTGCGTGCGTGCGATTGACACACTCATATTTGGCTATGTAATAAACATGCGCTTTAAGAATAACATATTGATCGAATAACGACACTGTCTTATGAAATATAAGGTAATGACAAAACGATGACTTTAAACAAGGTTTTCAGTATAAAATAGGGAAACTATTATTAAGCTATTAATTCGAAACTTATTTGTTCAACGTTTTCTGCGAAAATGTTCGACCTCATTTCCTCATTCAGGACATTCATACAATGGCCAAAAGGAAACAAATTAACCCATATTTATGTTATAGTCTCAGTAGACAGAACTCGGAAATATTCGATCTGTTTAACTGTTTTTATAATTGTTGAATTGGTCGGGTATGTGAAGCATCGGAGAGATACCAGAATACGACCATGCTAGTAAGGATTTCACTTTTGCATAACTGGGTTTAGGAAACGGTTGGTAATTATATACGATTTCACATGAATAAATCTTTATCGAACTAAATTTTACTCATAACCAAGCAATTCACATTCTGCAAAATGGATGAAAATCCATTACAAATGTACCATATATATATGCCATGTACTCGTCGGATGAAAATATTTATAAACAAAAGGGTAATATAGAGTAGCTATATTTACCATAATAGAGTATAGCTATATGAATCTGGAATTTTACAGAAATATGTAGCGCGCGAAAAACATGTTACATAAATACAAGAGAGCAATATTCAAAACACGAAGGAAAAATCACGGTACTCCCGAAGTATGTGAACCAAGATGGCGAACACCGGAATGTAGTATGTGTACCAGGTTAGGGTTAGGCATAATTTTATTCAAATTTTCCTTATTTTAGTTTTATTACGAGTTTGGGGACTGGCCGAGTGACTCTCGTAGTATTTGTACCTGGAATTATGGCCCAACCCTAACCTGGTACACAAACTACGTCCCGGTGTCCGCCATCTTGGTTCACATACTTCGGGAGTACCAAAATTACTACGACAAAAAGCTCCACGATGAAATTACCCTTTTATCAACACTGTTTTCTAATAAGATATTGCCGGTTCATAGACAAACGCTGGTTTTGTTACTTGTAAATAAATATCGCGGCAATTTTGTGTCGAAAAAGTGTGCGTTACTACAGTGAGACATTTATCCGGTCCGTGTAACGTCAAATTTACTCAGCAAACGGTCTATTAGGCACTTAGCATTAGATATTTCCGTCAACAAGCATCCAAAATTACTTCCAATTGAGGGCAATATATCCTAAGAAATTGTCTAGTTGTCACTTACTTTCTTTTGGTTGTCATGTTCATGTTTCTCAATATGCATTTTATCGCATAGATTAGACTGCTTGAATGTTATAAACTTTGATAAATGGGACTGGATAGACCTGACTTGCCGCAATACCGCATGTAAGCGGTACCTGACAAAGCGGAGCATTGATTTCGTTGAGCGCTCTTGCAACGGCACACCAGCCAACTCTATTAGAGGCCGCGTCTGATGGCGTCGCTACAGCGTCAATGGAATACAACATTTGACACGTGACGTCACTTAAGATGTAACTCTCTTTTCAATTATTGGACACAAAATGTACATCGCGCATGATTGCCACCAGGTATATTCATGTCAAAGATAAATAAAGCACAACCGGTGTATAGCAAAACGACCATTATTGCTGTTTTGATTAAGTGTACTCTTCATATCATGCCCTGATGAAGTTTTTCTGAATAGAAATTCGAAACGTCGGCAAATTATATCGTTTTGCTATACACAGGTTGTGCTTTATTTATCTTTGACACAAAATGTACATGTGAATCGTTTTGTAATTATTATTATTATTATGCTGTTGTTGTACATGTTCCATTTCTTGTACATGTTCAATTTAGTTTAATCTAATATTTCTTACCCACGAAAACTAAACTTAATATAGTTTGTTACCAATACGTGGTTTCGAAATGAAGGTATCTCAGGGTTATTGTGGAACGAAACCACATATATATTTAGAAAAACGGTACAATTACAAATTGCTGGGGTTGTAATCGGCAATTTGCACCGGAAGCTGTTAATTTCCGCGAGTGAAGTTCGACAAGCAATCAACACCTGCATTTTTATCAACATCAAAGTTGATTGACTGTTGCTGACAGCAGATCAAAGTATATCAATCATCTTCTATTTGTTTTATATCGCTCGCAAAATTCTCGCCATAAAAGTGTATTCGAGTCAGTCAATTAGAAATTCTGTTTATATCTTCTCGTTATTGTAACACCTGATTTGTGATAATTGCTACATATGTGATTTGAATATAATTGGTTATTATTGTATCCTTATGCTTTCTTTTGTTCTGTATCATTTTCTTTGTCAACTTTTAAACGAATAATTAGTTGGTCTGCAATAACATCTGAATGAAATGATAATTACAAATTTCACGCTCAAATTATATTGGAAGCTGATGATGAACCGTGGTCAATTGGAGAATCC